ATAATGCACTTTGTTGTGTCGTGAAGGCACACCTGGTGAACAGTGGCCCAATGATAGGAGATAAAAGTGGTTGATAATTTTAGTATATTATGGATGCAGCATAACAGAGCCAAGATTAACTGACTAACTCAAATGAACCAACTAAAATGTTATTGGAATGCAAAAACTAAAAACCGCAATGGATCATGTTGAGATCGTTGATCTGGCATTAGCATCATTCCAAAACACGCGTACACACTTGACATTGTTGGAGAATCACACGATCAATTACACACAGTTGCCATTGTCCTGGTGACATTTGGAATTTTGAAATGGTACATTCTGTAAGTAAAGAGATCATTGCACCAATGTCACTGAGGTGATTTGAATGAACAGTTCTGTTGTTGGTGATGTCCTTTTGGGAAACGTGTTTCATTTTCTCAGGCAACTTTTCATGACACCAGGAAGCGATCATGAAGTATTGGCTCTTTCTTTTAGCAAATGGGAAACTTTGTGATCGTGATTAAAGCTGGCAGACGTAATATGGATTTGGATTAAGTAGCTCTATGTGAGCAAAATGGCAGAGAGCTTCTCTTTAAACTAGGATGGAGAAATTCAATGTGCCTGCTAATTGAATCTCAGCGCTCAAGTGAGGGAAACTAATGGAGAGAAGGAGGAAGAAGAGAACGATTTCTGTTCATAAACAGTGTTTACTTAAAGAACTCCCCTGCCTTATTAGTATTAATAGCGGTGACTTCAGAAGGCTCATATTCAGCCATTGGACAGTACTGGATAATTTATGAGTGAAATGAAAGCCTGAGAGTGCAGTGCAATGTAGTAAGGCATTGCAAAACAATGTTGCCCATGCCCGTTTACATAAGCAGCACTTGGGGTAAACAGTGGATTCAGCGCAGCGCGGGATGAGAGGAAAAACGTGAGCAACGTGTTGTATCCTCACATTAGCCTTGTGGAGATGCAAGAACGCTGCGGACCTTTTGATGCAGTTGGTCTTCATCTGCAAGTCCTTTTGAGCACGCCAGCGCAACATCTCGCCCCGAGCAAAACTTCTGCATCCCCAGAAGTTGGGTCAGGATATATGCCACGTCATTTTAGATGCTCTTAATTAAAGACACCATCTGTTAAATTTGATCATTAAAGCGCTTCGCCTAAGTGCATACGTTCATTTTATGCTCTATTTGCAGTCAGCAGGGTGGCGTGCAAAGCGAGGAAACGCCGCATCAGATTTGGGGATTCAAGAGCATCTCCGACCGAGAAGAATCTCTGCTGAAGATGCAGCATCACTGACATTGTCCACAATGCTTACAGAATTCATCTTTATTTATATTAAATTAAAAATATACTTTTGACAGATTCATGTAGCAAACATGAGGAACAGTACATTTATGATACAAAGCTTTGGGTATGATCTGCAAAGAACACAGAAAGGATAAAGGGACAAAGCTAAGTTATTGGCAACGGCCTCTCTGAACTCTGTCCCCGCTCGAAGCATGCAGAAGAGAAAACAGGTTGCGCCGGGCCATTCAAAAGAGGACCATGTGGGACTTGGCTCCCAAACAACTGAGAGGGCCAGTTTCTGGTGGTTTGCTGGCAGCCCACCTTTTCATTTTGAAGGGAGAAACTCCACTTGCAAGAAAGGGTTAACAAGCACATTAAATATCGCCCCGCCCCCGTTTGTCAAAAGGTAAAATCACATAAAGCAAATTGTGTGTACACTCGGTATAAGCAGGAGGAAACTGCAGAAGGAGAAAACAGAGTAAAACGCCAAAGCAACACCACCCTATTTACAATTCTCCATTGTCCATTGTTATTTTAGTGCTTTTATAAAAAATACTCTTCACATTTGAAGCGTGTGAGATACCCCAAAGATTATGTGCAGTTATATTTTTGACCTGGGAAATGAACTCAAACAGCAGTGATTTGTGCAATTACTGTTCACACAACAACAATAACCGAACATTAAATAATTAGCAGAACGCAAGATACCTTGGGGAAAAAACACCCCAAATGACAGAGGAATCAAGATTATACATTGTATAGTATACGTAGCAAGAAATCAGGATTTTCAGTTTGTGCTAAAGATGAAAAAAACAAACAAACAAATAAAAACAAACGAACAAAAAAAAAAACAACTCTTAAAAGGTCAGTAACGTCATCAGAGATACAAAGGTACGTTAATAGCTTTACACCTTGGCATATAAAGAACAAGAACCAATGGTGTGAAGGAAATTGGAAAGATCGCATGGCGTGAATGAAACAAAAAGAAATGATGTCTCAGAAACAGGGTAGCAGATGAAATTTTAGAATAAGTAACCATGGAAGTGAATCACATCCGGGTAAGGAAACATGAAAGAAGTTTACATGACTTAAAGGAAAGAAGATACGGATACCACGTGCAACAGAGAACTTGCTCACTTGGGCTTAAGAAAACATGGACGGTGATCACACAGCGTGAAAGGAACCATGGGAGGAGATCGGATAACATATAGGAGACGCCAAAAGGGGGATGATATGATGCAAACAAAACCGAGAAGTATGTGTGTTTGAGAGCGTAGTAGAATGGAGATCAACCTGGCGATGAATTCTGAAAATAGGAGACGGGCAGGAGAGGAAATTATTGCTTCAGTGAGGAGTTTCGGTTACGAGAAGAAGGTGAAGAAGTTTTCCAGACTGCAGAGAGGAAACATGGGAGGCCAGCAGTGCCCTCAGTCTCACTTTTGATTCAAAACATCAACATTGCGCAATGATTTGGGGCAAAAGTACATCGAGATAGATGTCTGTTTAAAATCAAAATTGTCCCTTTTTCCTCTTTCCTTGAAACCCACATTTTGCGGTTACTTCCATTGCGCAGTCTAAACAAACTCAAACGTGCTATAAATATTTCACACTCGACATTAAATACTGTCTCCATTTCAATGAATTGCAGCTCCAAACGGGATTACAAAATACTCCTTCATTAAAAAATCATGGCACCATCAAAGAAAGATTATGACTACTGTTGGGAACACACACACACACACACACACACACACACACTTTAAAGAGAAGATTCTTGAAACCGATCAAACCCCAAAAGGATTTCCTTCATGAACTCTTGGCCGACATAGTGCCACTGATCTTTGCTAATGCTCCGAGTTCTCAAGTGGTGAACAAGCAGATAAACAAGTTGGATATTTCTGGAATAAGTATCTTTCCACATCCACCTTTGATTAAAGTGCTTCATGGGGTAGTTTGGATTTGAACACACACACACACGCACACACACACACACACACACACACACACACACACACACACACACACACACACACATACATACACACGCGCGCGCGTGCGTGCATTTGAAAAACGCACAAAATAAATAAACAACGGGAGCCCCAGAAGATGAGCCGATCCAGTGACAAAGTAGGTCCTCCAAAAGGGAAGTAAAATAACGATAAAACTTGGCAAGCCTGACGCCTTTCCTTTGAAATGTGTTCCGCATGACTTGGCAGAAGAAAGACCAATTATTGGCTGTATGATAGAGGAGCATTGAGTGTCGGTTTGCCCACAGGCACATTGACAGAATACTGTATTATTATTATTATTATTCTTATTTTTTTACTTAAATGGATAAAAACCATGAAATGTTTTGGCCATTTATCTTCATGACAAGGATGTTTTTGAAATTCAGAAATGCAAATACTGAAACCAGGTCTCCAGTGGATGTTACCATGTACATATTGAACAACTGTGACAACACAGAACAAGCGTGTGCATGGCAAGTGTTCAATGTGTGACCAAGTTCAAGATCAAGACAGTTTGGGATAAATACGGAAGGGCAAGCAGCACGAGGTATTACTTTGCACAATACTGTAACAGTACCACTTATTGGCATATTACAGCAATTACAGCTGTTTTTGCAGGTCCGTGTGAACCCATGTCATTTTGACGCTGTCACCTCTACATGAATGAAACCTTTCCATAAAGTTCCTTTGTTTTAGTTTGCGATGGTCAACATATCCTTATTCACAACCAGTGGATTCATGCACAGTAGTAGTCTGAGTTTTGTATGTTTTCCTTCAGAAGGCCATAGACTTGAATTATTATTAAAGAAATAGTTATTTCGTTTTCCCGCTTTATTAACCATTTCAACATTTAATAAATAATAAAACTTTTTCCCAAGATGGCGCCCGAGTAGGCAGCCGTCGGCAAGTGCTCTTCAAGAGCCTTGCTTTTTTGTTGTTTTTGTGTTTTGTCACATTGTATTTGTTGTTACGTCGTGTGGATCTGCTGTAGATTATTTTTAGCATTTTTTGGCCACAACGTTCATCAAAGGAGAAGAATCGGTGCTTGGTGGTGGTACACCACATGCGCTGGTACATGCGTGCTGCCTTTTCGGCACTGATTTTGATTGGGAGGAATGTCAGCGCCATCTGGCTGTCGTTGCTGGACAGCCCCGGGGCGCTTGTGTTTTTTTGTGCCTGAAATGGGCAGCATTTTTCACAGCCCCGCTTTGTTCAGCGGGAATGTCAGTGCTGTTGAACAGTCTGCGGCTGGACGGATGGATGGCTTGAGGAGCCGACGATGAGAAGAAAGGAGCGTCAGCGCAGAGCGCCGATGCATATGTGGAATTGGGTGTCGTAGCTTGGAATTGAAGCGGATTTACATGGGACAGAAGATGTGAGCCAATCTCTTTTTCGTCAATGGACGCTCCAGCTTCTTGCTTGCTTTTCAAACTTGTAGCAGACGTGTGCACATTTTCAGCATGACGTCTTTGATCCACTGGTGAAAGGACACTTGGATTTGCTCCTCTTTCATCTATAACTGCTTCAAACAACAAATTGTATGCAGAAAAAGCGGTTAAGATTGCACGACTGTCTATTTCTTATGTGTTGTGTTGTATTATTTGTGTTGTGTTGTATTATTTTGTCATTTTATGTTAACTGTTCTTTTGATGGCGGCGCGGGCACCCGCAGCGGCTCCTCTCTCTCCTGAGGAAAGAAATTTCATCTGTGCTGCATGTTGCACATGTAGCACATTTGACAATAAAGTTGACTTGAACTTGAACTTGAATATTAGAAATTTTGAATTAGAATTTTCTCAATTAAGAAGACTTACATTTTTGTGACCTGTGTTATATCTGACAATATTGGTGTATAATTGCTTTTACAGTCTAATTAGTATTTTGCCTTTTTCGGTCTGGCAAAGATGAGAAAAGTGGTTCAATTACCTTAAAGCAAGGCAATGTCTATTTTGAATACCAAGATAAGTTACCAAATGCTATTTCATGGCCCAAAAATGGCTAATGACTTCTGACACTAATTGTTAAGAAGCTATGGCAACATGTGATGCTTCTGTGTAAAAATATACTGCAGTATTTCAGCGTAGCGTGTCTTGCATGTTTGTAGACTGTTTTGTCTTTACAGGTTCAAAAATATAGTACAGTACTTGATTTTGTATGTACAACTTTTCTCTACATTCACATTAGAACACTGGTCCTTCAATTTCTATTGCACAGCTTTGGCCGGCACAGGCTAAAGATTTTTCTTTGCTTCTCTCTACAATTTTTTTAGGGATGTTTTAAAAGGATGTCATTAGCCTAGCCTCTGCATTTTTTTCACTTTTTCGATGAAACGATCTACAATACAGGAAAATTACTACACACAAAAATATGAGCACTTGACTAATCAGCTTTGAGACTTTGTTTCCTCCATTTTGTTTGTTCTTTCTCCTTCCTCGAGCCAAGTGAAAGCTTGTTTCAAGTCCTTCTTGAGTTAGTTAGTGTCAAACACTTATGTGAGTGTAAATATCGTTATGTATTGGGGGAAAAAAATCAAACTAATCAAAAAGCTTATGCTGGGCGTTTCCAATGGACACAGCAGAATTGCTGGCAGTAGGTTCAGACACCAGGTGTTTTGCAGGAATTGACCATAACTCCCGCAACAGTGTGGTATTTCCTCCACAATCTCTGTGTCTGAGATCACAGTTTGTATCTACAGCACAGAAACGTACTTTAAACTTGGTCTGCTTGGTTTGGGTCCGTTGTTGCTACAGTCTTGAATAGATTGGGGGAGGCAGAGGAGTTTGTGGTGGCTCTGTTTGGGGAACTGAAGAAGTTTCTCGAGGCTGGAGTCACATTGAGGGTCAACTTAGACCACGGTATTCCTTTGCCGGTAGGGAGGAGGCGGCAGAACTGGGCCAGATTTCAGGGAAAACTCAGACATGTATTCGGGGTTTTCAGCTACTGCCGGCCGTATGTGTCCATTCTGCTTGTAGTAGAGCTTAGCATTGGTGGACCCACTCTGGGTGCCGTCAGATGGTTTGGGCGGCAAGCTATGCTGCCAGTATTCCGGATTGTCAAAAGTTACCTTCAGCTTCTTCCCAGCGGCTTTACCTGCTGTCTGTCCACCATGTTTCAGCAGGCTGGCAGGCTGCAAGGCTGCGTGGGTCTGGTAGGCTGGCAGGCTGCCGTGCCCAATGGAGGCTGCGGTGGCCGGGACACCTGACTGGCACACCGAAGCCAGGGCAGTCGTTCCTGTTTGGCTCTGACCGGTGGAAACGCCACCGGGAATGCCAGCTTGTCCTGCAGGTTTGACGGTGTGGTGGGCGTGGAGGATGTGGGTCAGTGTACCGTGGTGGCAGGACATACCAGATGGTGACAGCTGAGCTATGGGGAGAGGGTAGTGGGGCAGGTTGGTCTGGGTGCTAAGCGGGAGGTGGGACCCTGAGGTGGTGACTGAGGCGGAAGAGGGAGGCTGGGAGGGAACGGGCAGACCGTTTCTTCGCAGGTTCTCTGCGGTGCTGTGGAAGGTGTTGAAGTAGAGGGGCTCGTTGATGTACTCGTCCTCTCCTTTGGGCTGACTGCTGGGTGTGCTGTGGTAGCCTGGGTTGTCCAACGCATGGATTTCCCCATTTTTATGCCGTGACACAAAGGGGTTTTCCTCAATCGGATTCAGGGATTCTGTAGCACACATCAGAAAAGAAGAAGGAAGGAAAGAAATAAAGGAGGAGATTTTGAAAGTATAAGGCAGATAAACTAGTAATATTGTCAGAAATTAAAACGGGGGGGAAAATGGATACAAAGCTGAAAGAAATGAGTATGAGATGAGTGTTAGAGAGCGAGAGAGAGAGAGAGAGAGAGAGAGAGAGAGAGAGAGAGAGAGGGGAAGAAGAAGAAAAGAGAGTTAGGTCACTTGCTAATGAGCAAAGAAGATGGAAGGGGACATGATAATGGTGATAATGGGAGCCACTCAGGACCAGACAGGCAACTTGCCAGAAGTTCTTTGGCACTGCAAACTCCATCTGCCGGGGGCTGAAATGCCAACAAAGGACCTCTCTTCGTTACTTCCAAGCGCTATTATAGCGGGGTGTGAAACCTATTGATTTTGCCCACTCTTGCGCTCCTTGACATCGCATCAGATGCATTATGCCTCAGGCCTTGTTATATTTTGAGAAGCTCAAAAATCAAAGGCATCAGCAGGAGAACAGGGTTGATGGGTTGAATTATGATCAGAGGCTGACATGCACCACCGTCAAATAGTGTTAATCCATGTGCAGAAATAAAATGTGGGAAAAAAAAAAGACTTATGAATTTACTACAAAAGATCACCTTTTCAGTAGTCTGCTATGAGAAAAGAAAAAGGTGTTGAGCTTATATTTCCTCAGCCTGCTTCTTGCAGATGGGCAGTATTTCCACATGAGACACTGCATACTTTCCTAATTTGCTTTAAATAATTTCCCAAATATTCTTTTTTTCACAAACTAAAAGCCCTCAACAGGCAATCCTTTGATTCTTATACTGGAGAGCGGCTGCTGAGTTGGCGGCCAGTGAGTCTGTTTCCCTCTTGATGTGTTTGATGTCTTTGCTGTACATCCTAGAATAAATTGCATCTGTCAAAGACGCACACTCTTTCGACCACACTTGACTGTCTTTTTAGTCAGGCAGTGCTTCCTTTGGAAAGCTGATCTGAGTTTTGCTATACCAAGACCGAAACTTCATCCTCGCTGTGTGTTTTTTGTCTCAGTACCTGAAAAGCTCTTGTCCTTCATGGGGGTCATGTATCCGTCCTCATCCTCATCCCTGAAAACCCTCTCGCCGAGAAAGATGGTGGGGTCAGCGCTGTACCTCTGTCCCGCGTTGTCTCCACTCCCTGCTTGGTTCAGATTCTTCTTCTGTACATTGCCATTGCAACGCTGGTCCTCCAGGGTGTGCCCCTGGCTTCCGGTGGCTTCCTGTTTCACACTGGCCTGGGCCCCTGACAGAAGACCGTCTGAAAGTTTTGGCCCTCCTTCCCTATAGCCAAACTTGTTCTGGGGAAGACAGGGTGAAGTAGAGGTGTGGGAGCGGGGATTAGGCAGGTTGACAGTAATATGAAATATATTTTCAATACATTAGTATTTACTTCAGGAACGTTTTTATGGTGATTCGACAAATTCATGAAAATGTTCCTGAATGAGGCTTCTATACAATAAGTAGAGCATTAAACCTACAGTACATTTAGATGTACAGTTTTCAAAAAAAAAAAAAAAAAAAAAGAACCCCGTTAGAACTGTGTGATACCTTTAACCTGTGCAGCTGCCAATCAAAAGTAAAATTCTGTGAAAAGTTCTGCGGGTGCCGTCATCAGCCTTAAGGGACCGTGAGGGGCAGCCAGGCAGTGCAACAATTCACACACCTGAGCCTCGGAAAAAGAACCGAAAACCCCACAAGAAAACAAAACATGACATGCGGAGCATAGGGTTTCCTGTGGAGCTCTGTTAGCTTGCTGCAGGCTATTTAACCCTGACCCACTCCTCTGCGCTCACACCAACTGCAAATGCTACACTAGTAATTACAGGAAGTGCAGCTACAAACAAAACAACAAGGGAGAGAACATTCCAGGGTTATATTGCTCTATCTATTCTTCTCCTCCTCCTTAAACCATCTCTGCTTTGTTCTTTGAAGAATTGTTTCAGACTCACTTATTGGCTCCTAGTTGTTACTGGATTGTATCTATCAAAGTAATATTGAGAAACACAAAGCGACACTTTCAAATGAAGCAGGAATCCTTTGACCGCAAATTGACAACTGAACATATCCATTGAACTTAGAGGCCAGAACTCACAAGATAAGCAAAATGAGAAACCAGTATGGTCGAATACACAACTGATCGCACAGCTCTGGAAAAGAGTGAGACTCATTCAGAGTCATCAGAATCTGACCAAGAAAGCTGCGTTGAATTGGAGAGACGACCGGGTCAGGACGGCTTTCAACGCCGAAACGTCATGGCTCCACTTCTTGCAGGCAAGTATGGCTGCAGGTGTAAGTTAATATGAGCAGTGTAACCCAAAAGACATTTTTGGATTGGATGCAGTTTGTCTTTGATAAACCATTAATTTTTTTTCTTTCGGACCAACACAGGTACACTTTAAGTCTGGGATGCCGGTGTGGCTTTACTTAAGATATTTATTGCGAGTTTTTCCTTTTTCTCTTGCAGGCATCAAAACACAAGTTGTACTGAAACGTAGGAATATGATTGCGCCAGATAACTGGACGTTATTGGTGTTTTTTTGTACAGTATGTAAATGTCAAGTGTTAAGGGTTGAGATGAGTTTTTAAAAAGAAATGTATTTCTGTGCTTTTGGGGACATATTTAATTGATGTTCCTGCATATTTGTCCTTGGGTGACATTAAAATAGTTCAATTTAGGGCAGTCTTAATGGATGTTTTTGAGGCTGATGCTAATTCTGATTATTTTTGGAAAGGGCTAATATCGGCTGATTTTATGTGAGGGCTGATTACCATGTTTTCTGCACTATAAGGCACATCGGATTATAGGGCGCATTGTCAGCGTTTGAGAAAATTGAATGCTTTTAGGTGCCATGTGCCTTTTAGTGCAGAAAATACGGTACTTGAATCATATTGAATCATCCTTGATGTTGGGATCGTTGCCCTGTGAAAAACTTTGCAACCGGACACCTCAGAATTTTGGTCAAAGATGAGAAAGAATGTAAAGCAGGTTTTATATGTTGGAGGAGGAGGCGTGGGGGAGTTGACACTAAAATTGTCATGAGACTATGTCGACTATGGTAAAAAGATTAGAGATCAGACTTTATATTTTTAAGAGGCGGGCTTACTCTGTTTGAGTCAACACGAGGTCTTGTTGGGTATGACGGATGAGCTGCATCAAAACTTCGGGGCACCAGGTATTCCTCAGCATCCATCAGGTCATCCAGATCCTCCTCATCTAGGAGGCTCTGGAAGAACTTGCTATCATTGGGGCTGGGCAGCTTCATCCGATCATCTCCCTGAAAAAGTCCCAGTTTTCAAAAAAGAGGGCCATACGTATGACTATGAAGCACGATAAATTATTATTAATAATAACGTAGCTCTGTTCTGTGTGAGCTCTGTTCATTCAAACCTACTTGGATGACCAGGTATCGTTGTGGGTCCCGGGCCATCCTGCAGAACTCAGCAGCAAGCTCCTTGAATTTGGGCCGACTGTCGGCATCAATCATCCAGCCTGGACAGGAACCAGAATGAAGAGCAGAGGGCTGATATTATCTGTTATCCTGATCATCTTCCAACACCAAATGGGCTGCACATTTGGGCCGGTGGCAGCCCATCTGGTCTTTGCCGGGAATGCCAGATTGCCAGCCTGAGCCCGATTGAGGGCCTCGCTCAAGGACAACCCAAAGTGGCAAATTAGGTAAGGGAGAAACAGGTTTCGTTGCGTTCGACCCACTTCTCCCTCCATGAGGCCACAGCTGGCATACACAAAGCAAACCCCTGAAGGTGAAGTGAAAGGCCAGCTGCTGTGTCCGTTCTACATCGGATTATAGGGCGCATTGTCAGCGTTTGAGAAAATTGAATGCTTTTAGGTGCCATGTGCCTTTTAGTGCAGAAAATACGGTACTTGAATCATATTGAATCATCCTTGATGTTGGGATCGTTGCCCTGTGAAAAACTTTGCAACCGGACACCTCAGAATTTTGGTCAAAGATGAGAAAGAATGTAAAGCAGGTTTTATATGTTGGAGGAGGAGGCGTGGGGGAGTTGACACTAAAATTGTCATGAGACTATGTCGACTATGGTAAAAAGATTAGAGATCAGACTTTATATTTTTAAGAGGCGGGCTTACTCTGTTTGAGTCAACACGAGGTCTTGTTGGGTATGACGGATGAGCTGCATCAAAACTTCGGGGCACCAGGTATTCCTCAGCATCCATCAGGTCATCCAGATCCTCCTCATCTAGGAGGCTCTGGAAGAACTTGCTATCATTGGGGCTGGGCAGCTTCATCCGATCATCTCCCTGAAAAAGTCCCAGTTTTCAAAAAAGAGGGCCATACGTATGACTATGAAGCACGATAAATTATTATTAATAATAACGTAGCTCTGTTCTGTGTGAGCTCTGTTCATTCAAACCTACTTGGATGACCAGGTATCGTTGTGGGTCCCGGGCCATCCTGCAGAACTCAGCAGCAAGCTCCTTGAATTTGGGCCGACTGTCGGCATCAATCATCCAGCCTGGACAGGAACCAGAATGAAGAGCAGAGGGCTGATATTATCTGTTATCCTGATCATCTTCCAACACCAAATGGGCTGCACATTTGGGCCGGTGGCAGCCCATCTGGTCTTTGCCGGGAATGCCAGATTGCCAGCCTGAGCCCGATTGAGGGCCTCGCTCAAGGACAACCCAAAGTGGCAAATTAGGTAAGGGAGAAACAGGTTTCGTTGCGTTCGACCCACTTCTCCCTCCATGAGGCCACAGCTGGCATACACAAAGCAAACCCCTGAAGGTGAAGTGAAAGGCCAGCTGCTGTGTCCGTTCTCATTAGACAGAAAGCACACACAGTTACTGACTTTGTTGGGTGTTTCTTAATTACATCTCTGGGAATGCTGATGGAGGGAGTGAGGTTCAGGGTGCTGCTGGCAGATAAACACAATTGTTTCAAATGTAATAATCAGGTCAGATGTAACAGATCCACCCGAAGGAATCTCTGTGGGTCACGAACCAATGCGGATCTGGTCCTTACAATAAAATGGGCCCAGACACGCATACATAAGATTATTACTTTTTATTCTCCACAAGCAGGCAGGGAGGAAGTAGAAGTCCTTTGGCATTGCTGTAAGGCTAAAAGGCTGCGGGGCAATGTTGCTTCTGAGCTGTCATAAGCCAATAGTGCTGCTTTTGCATCTGGTGAATAAATATTAGATAGTATGACATTTCCAATGAATTAACATTTTCATCTTGGGAATATGTTTTGATGTCATGCTCTGAGAGTCATATCATTTTTCTGTTGGTATTTCAAGTGCGAAAATAGAGAGTCGCTGGAGAGAAAAGTTCATGTCAGGTACTTGCTGCCAAGAGAAAAGTCACTCCACCATTATTGTGTGAGGCGACCACCAGGCAAGTGCGAAGTGAGGGACGGCCAAGCTGCTAATAGCTGGCAGGGCCCAAATCTTGGACTGGCTTTTGTAAATGTCTGACTACCTCCTGGAAATCTGGACTGGCAGATCCCTCTGAAGCCATGGACAACATCTCCCATGTTGTGAATTAAACCATGGGAGAATGTGGGCCAAAAGAAGCAATGCATGGTTTGGATCAAAGAAGCACTGGAGTTTGTGGTCCAAATGAAAAACGAAATGAGCTTGCATGGTGTGCACAGCCTTGCATCTGATCATTTTTATCGCATCATCCGACATTTCTCATGTCTGTTTCTTGAAAAACGAACCAAGAGTGGAGCGAGGCCCAAAGCCTGAATCAGTCCAGTACACTAGTCTGGAAGCAGACGAGCTGCATTTTATTCTTTCTGAAATGTGACTCTCTGGCCCTTACCAACGAGGTATTTTAGCACATTTTTCTAAAATGATACTTAATGGTGTTTTCTTACATTTGACCATGACCATGTAGACATCTATGGTGCAAATGGGTGGCTGCGGCAGCCGCTCTCCCTTCTCTAGGATGTCTGGGATCTCCCTCGTTGATATGCCGTCATATGGTTTGCCTCCAAACGTCATTAGCTCCCAGATGGTCACTCCTGATGGATGCAAGGGCAAAAAGAGACTCATCAATAGGACAGTGCAAGCGTAAATACAAACAACAAAAAGAGAACAAACGGGTTTCTGGGTTATTTCGCCCACGGGTGTGAGCATATGGAAGGCTGACATGAATAAAGATGATTAATCCATTTAGCTCCCCTGCACTCACCATAACTCCACACATCACTCTGATGGGTGAACTTCCTGTAGTGGATGCACTCAAGAGCCATCCATTTAACAGGCATCTGAGGAGGGAAACAGAGATTCGAAGGTGAGATGGGAAAAAAATACACCTATGTTGACACAGGATTATTTACAGCCTGAATTGCAGGTGATCTCATCTGCTTTAGCCTCAGTTGCCCAATCCTTTCAATGGCCGTTTGTGAGCTATTGACATATTGACGGTGCTTTCAGGCAGTGCCGCTTTGTTCAATATTACTCAAGTGTGGTGAGCGATTAGCTTCAACCTGAACCAGCAATTGTGAATCCTGCGTGTGCTTTTTAAGGTGCTAAATGAGATGGTGTTGGTCATTTGTCAAGATGGCGCCCGAGTAGGCAGCCGTCAGCAAGTGCTCTCATGAGCCTTGCTTTTTTTGTTGTTTTTGTGTTTGTTTTGTCACTTTGTGTTTGTTGTTACGTCGTGTGGACCTGATGTGGACTTTTTTCAGCATTTTTTGGCCACGACATTCATCAAGGAGGAGACTCTGTGCTTGGTGGTTGCGCCTTCTCGGCTGCATGGGTATACCAGCACTGTTTTTGACTGGTAGGAATGTCGGCGCCAGTTGCTGGACAGTCCCGGGGCGCTTGTGTCTTGTGCCTGTAATGGGCAGCATTTTTCACAGCCCCGCTTTGTTCAGCGGGGAGATCGGTGTTGTTGAACGGTCTGCGGCTGGATGGATGCATGGCTTGTGGGGGCGGCACATGGAAAAACTTCAACTAAACCGTTCTTAAATATACTGTTGGGATTAAAAATCTGTTGTCTGTCTCTTTTCTGAATGTTTACATCATCTTAAACAAAGTTGTTACTGGTGTAACCTGTTTTTTGACTATTTTGTGTAGATTTTTATAGTACGGGTCAAAATGACCCACAACATAATCAACGTGATTTTTTTTCAACATTAGATGAGGGTGAATTGTAGGGTAATAGATTAACGACATAGTAAATCTAAAAGTTTTTTTAAACCTTTTCTTAAATTAATAATTGAATCTTTTGAAGGTAAAGCTTCTTTATCAATTACAGCACAAAAATCAATGAATATTTTAATTGCCTTTCCAGCAGCTCCTATATTTTGTTGTTCTACTTGTTCCTTTCATAACTTTGCTGCTGTGTATTGGGAATTTCTCCATTGCGAGACTAATAAAGGTTTTCTTATCTTATCTTATCTTATTTGCCGCATATGAGCTAAACAGACGGCCTGTTTACAGCGGGCTGTGCGGGCCAGAACGGCCACAACAATTCCTTTTTAATAAAGACAACAAACCTGCAATTACACAAGCCTGCATGTGTCACACTTGGTTGTTTGGAATGAAAAGCTGTTCCTTCATTTGAATTCCAAATGCAAAATCTGATATCTGAGGTTTAATTCTTTATGAGATGTGTCATCAACGTGTCAACAATCTGGCATCCTAATAGCAAAAGAAACATTTTATAATGTTTAAACCAGATCCCATTTATTTTCTGTAACCAGACCCGAGAAAAGTATGTTCAATTCAACCAGATCATAAGAGAACCGACAACAATTTAACATTCATGACATTTTGAATGAAGATATGGCAAATGGACAATCTGAATTGGGATGAAAGTTGCTTACACACGATCGCTATGGAGCCTGCACATACTGCCGCCTTTGTGTTTAAATCAGACCAGATTAAGTAGTGGACATTTTATCCTTTCTTTTAACATGCCCATTGTGTGGCTCAACATGTTGGGAGCACGTAGGAAGAATGTTCAGTAGGATAAAAACTCTAGGCGGATGTAGCTGGAATTGTAAAAAGGAATTTGCACACAAACTTAACCTAGGTCGGAGAGATAATAAATCAAAAGCATTGTCACTTCTGGATGAGTACTTATTGTGCTTCTCTCTGGAAGATTCTTGTTTTCTCAGTCACCAACAACGATTTGGGCCTTTATTACAGTCAGTGATACATGGTCCACTTTTATCAAACATTTTTGTATGAGCTGTGTGCGGAAATGTGTGGATAAGGGTAAGCACAACAGACTTACACTGACCTTGCCCCCGTCTGCGTTGTATTCCTTCTCGTCCGCATCCAGCAGCCGTGCGAGGCCAAAGTCGGTGATCTTGATGTGATTGGGTGACTTCACTAGGACGTTGCGGGCAGCTAAGTCTCTGTGGACCAGTCGCCTTTCTTCCAGGTACATCATTCCCTGAGGGAAAAGAAGAAGCCAAACTATACGATCTCATGGAAACAATAATCACGATATAATGCACTTAAACTGAAAGCATCTGCATTGTCTTACCTGTGGCGTCTTCTCAAGACACCTGCACTGTATGTGCATGTTTAGGTTTAATCGATTCAGTCGGTGTGACTTTGCAAAGACTCAATTCAGTTGTTCTCACGATGACTGAGCAAGTACATCCAGTGTCTTTCAAATAGCTTCACATTGAAGATGTGGCGTGCAAAGCTTGTTTACACCAGAAAACAAACGTTAGACGGACAGAAGCAGGGATGCAGCCTCCATTTGTGGCTCAATGGGCTGTATGAATGACGCACACACAAAGAGCCTTTTGCCACACGAACAAACGAAACAGACCATTGCAGAGGGGTAAATTCGTGCATGCCTGACACATACATGTGTTCTTGGCTGAAGAAATCAGAGTGCATCCAGGCGAGGCCAACGGGGCCAATGAAAGTGCTTGAGCCAAGATGTGAAACAAGTTGACGCCACTTTGCAGGTGGATCAATAAAAACACCTCCACGAGGGGAGTGGTGGGAGACAGTCGTGCTCATCAGACAGCAAACACAGTCAGCTAAGCTTCTATTGGCGCATGAGACTCATCACTGACGGGGAAAAGACATGTGCGCACACGTCAAGCCATATTGTGTTGAGATGCCCGACGTGGCAAGCGAGATCGCACTGACTCTTCCCCAGACAAATGCGAGGATAAAATCGATCGACGGCTGGCCCACCGCGAGATGAACCCTCATCCATCATCTGCCCGGCCTTGCCGAGACAGACACACTGACAGGGACCACCTATGCTCCAAAGAAAGATATATTTCACCACTTGCAGCTCGCTTGTCCACCGTTCCCTGTTAGGAGGCTCACAATTATGAAGCCTCTTTCTTTGCCAAAATGTGCCCCATTACTGAAAGTGGATTTAAAATAAATTACGGCAAACGGAGCACGGGCAGGCGATCAATATCCATGTTGATTACAATAAGCCGGAAGACGACTGCGCCAAGCGATATTTATCCCCGATGCAGACATTGTGAGGAATTCGGAATCAATGGGCCACACAGTGCATTAATAGACTTCGACTAAACACGACGGGGCAATGAGGGGAGGCCACCGCACTGACAGCAAAATGTACAGCAGCTCAAGGAGCCAATTAACTTTCAGCCACTCTCGGCGGTAAACAGTGGCGTCCCAATAGAGCAGGGGTCTCAAACTCTCATGCTTGTTTTCCATCTCTCCCTGATTCAAATGATCAGGATCATCAACCGATGAGCCCACCGACACTGCCATTATTTGTCCTGATCATGGAACCACTTTGCTGAACGTGACACAGATATAGTCTCTCTTTTTCAGATTCCTTTCAAGTAAACTCATGTGTGCTAAACAATTTGGATTTGGAATGTATCGCTGTACAATGAAAATGAAGAATTGTTGATAGACCCTTCAAGAGGGAAATAAGATGAGTTTATGAAGCTACTTGTTAGCAGCACACTGCTGAGCTCTTTTGAAACGAACAAACTGCATCCTTTCTCCAGCTTAACGGCTGGAGAAAGGATACAGTGTGTTCCACTGACCTAATGGTGACCAAGCACGCAGGTAGAAAAATCAGGTTATTCTTTCCAACGGGGTTGATTTCTCTTTCTGAAGCTGGTACCACGCAAGGTCATGGGTGGCAAGCAACCGGCTGGCGCCTCCTCTCCGGTGAGGAGAAAAAATTGGAAAGATGAGTCTTGGTGAGGTGTAAAAGCATCCATGGAAACAAATTGGCACAGCAGGGAAAGAGATGCTATATAATAAACGTTGCCAAGTGGGGAGCTAAACCCTCCTCTTATCCCTGGGGTCAATTTGACCCCATTCAATGTTTAATCGTTCCAAAAATAATAATTGACTTATCAGTTTTTGTTCTATATTTCATTGCTTTTCCTTATTTGATGGGGACAACTGATTAAGCATAAAATTATCACAATGCTATGTTTTCAATGAACACATATTGCACGTAATGATGATCCTCAGGGGTCAAATTGAGCTGTTTTGACTGCTTTTTGTCAACTTGTCTGTGAGTTCGTGACCTAGTATCCCCACACCTATAGGTGCAGAGTTGATATATTACAGGGGGTGGGGACAATAACTATTTCTGCAACAACTTTGATAGTTTCCCCACAAGGACATTGGTAGTTCATGCGAAAAAAGGGATCAGCAAACATATAGAAGTTCGCATAACAGCCCTCTACCCAAATCATTCCACATTGTGCTCTGTTTGTACTGCAATCTGCGTGCTCTCTCACTTGAAAATGTCCTCTGGGAAAACGTTTACCGTCCGTGACGTTTTGGAATAGCTCTTTGCCAGTGAAAGTGATACAGAGGAGAATGCGTCCGAGACAGAGGATTGTGTTGAGGACCATGATTTTGAGGCATTCTCATCTGATGAATGAGACTTTTGACCCTCCTGTTGTCTCTCAACCATCAGCAGACACGATCCACTCCAATAATGGAAAGATCATATGATAATATTCCAGGCCCTCACGTGACTGTCAATGAGTGCTTGGCTGCATTTCGTGGACGCTGTCCATTTCGACAATAGCTAAGTAAACCTGCCAATATGGCATCAGATTTGGAAGGAGGACTTTTCTGGAGCAGCTGGGTAATGCACAGGTGAAATCTCAGACTGAGAGAAGAGGGTACATTACAAGAGCTGCTGCAGCGATTGTGGGTGACATACTGACAGAGACAAACACCCAAACTCCTCCATTGGTACAAACCGCGGGCGAGAAACGTGGCAAGAGTCACTCACTCACACACACACACACACACACACACACACACACACACACACACACACACACACACACACACACACACACACACAAGAGAGAAAAAAAAAAACAAACTCTACCACTACCGGTACCAAGCACGGCTAACAAAACAGGAAGGGTGAGTGAGACTTTATGAGTGAGACAAATACTGGTATGTGACAAAAAAAAAAAAGAAATAAAAATATGAAAACATGTTCATGACGAGAAGAGAGGTTCCCAACATTAATCAGTATGGTTTACTCTGTCAGAGTCATGAATGCGCATCCCAAATTAGAAAAGACTTGGATGAAAGATTTTCAAGACCGGAACTCTAAAACAGAGTTTTTGATCTGATGGTGGTGCTACAGTAAAGGTCATTTCACCACCAAAGCGAATAAGTTTGATCCTCTCGTGGCTATTAAGGTGGTCAGAAAATTTCAGATTTGAATGAAAACTTTTTAAACATGAAAATGTTTGATCTGATGGTGGCGCTAGGACAGGTCAACTTAGTGATAAATGTTACCATCAAGGGGGTATTTATGTTTTCAACAAATAATCAAAGTGCCTGACACAAAAAATGGGTCAACAGATTCCTGTACATCATTTTCTGAAGCCATATATCCCTGGTGTCAAATAGTCCCCAAGGGTAAAAATGTGTTGATAAGATTTGAGGATAATAGGAGGGTCAATTTGAACTTTGACTTTACTTTTTGAGCAAAAATGAATAGTTGTACGTTTTTGGACCGTGGGAGGAAGCCACATTGTTACTGCTTTAGCGAGAATTTACTCGCAAAGTTTCTTTTTTTCTATCACTCCTGCCAAGGCAACATAAAGCTAATAATGCGAGCTGATGCATGGCTATGCCTGCACAGTATCCATGAATGGCAGGATGCTTAATTTCAAACCAGGAGACGAGGCTGTGGTTTCCCCATCCATCTCCCTTTCACAGCCCTCCCCCTTCTGCGGACTCGAACAATGTGAGCAATATGAGCCTGTCTGCACGGCGAGGACTGGCACCGGTGCGATAAGCAACCGCACAACGGGACAGCCCAGGTGGCCCAGGTGGTCGTCTGTCACGTCCTGAGGACTTTACGTGCAATAGAACGGAAGGGAAGCCCACAGAGATGGTGAGCGTCGCAGTTTAGAAGTAATGCTAATTAGGTGTCGGGCAAAAATACTGTTACGAAAAATGTACAAATATGAGATTCGAAAAGCGCATGAGAGCAATTTTCAGAATATAGCAGAAGAGGGAAATAAGTTTTGAAAATGTGCTGTCCTGTCTGGTTTTATTTCCCTGAGCGCCAAAACGCTGGCTGGTTAATGAACTGTCGGTGAATGTGAGCTGTGGTTCTGCAGTGAAGGTTTCCGCCCATTTGCTCTGCAGTCACTCGACCTTGAGTCAGACAGCTAAGAAAAAAGAAAGCACCTATCAATCAAGCTAAGATAGGTATTTGACTGTAAAGCATTTAGCGACAGTACGGGCTGTGAGGGGGTCATGTAGAATATGTGTTTGTATTATTAGTCAGATGTAATCTCACCCAAGCGCTGAAGACTTTGCGGGGCACAAACATTCTTCCCAAATGGCGAAATGATGCAAATTTCCATGAGCCAATGTCGTGCCATTAAAGGAGAATATACATTTTGCAGATATAACGTCAATACATTTACAGTTACAAGTTGAACTTACATCACGATGAATTTGAAATGAAATATTACAAACAAGATATGATTCAAATGTAGAATCTACAAAAACTACAAATTCAGCTTTAACTTGAATTTTTTTCTAAAATTGTACCATTACATTTCATTGGCCATTTTAGAATTACAAAAGAACTGTGATTTTTGTGGACCCTAGTTTTCTCCTCTTGAACTTTGTCCAGGCTTTTTAAGGTTCATGACTCCATTTCAATCATCAAATTTTTTTTTCAACATTGATGTCCTTATGGTAAAGTATATTTATACGCGATAAATTCATTCATTCATTCATTTTCCGATCGGCTTTATCCTCGCAAGGATGGCAGGGGGTGCTGGAGCCTATCCCAGCTGTCTTCGGGCAGTAGGCGGGGGACACCATGACCCGGTTGCCAACCAATCGCAGGGCGACTCAATAAATGTTTTATATATATATATATATTAGGGTGGTCCACATTTTCATGGCAAAAAAAAAAGTTTGTCG